TGGATTTCCCAACGCCGGCTGCATACTGACAACTTCTACCGATGCTTTCCTTCCCCCCCCAAGAGGAAACATTCTCTCTGTCTCCACTCGATCAAAACCTTCCAGAATTTCACAGACCTCGAGTGAGTCACTGCTCAGCCTTCTCTTTACAAGACCCAGCTCCGCAGTCCTTTCCTGAATCATGTCCCCACACATTCCTATGTTAGTTCTCCTCTTCCATCTTCTCTGCACCCTCTCCTGTGCCTTGACATCCCCTGTTTATAATGTGGGAGACCTGCAGGCAGTATCTAAGCATGGTCTGACCAGGGACTCAATACAAAGTCCCCAGGAGGGATGGTGCGTGTGGGGGTTGGAGGGGTTTGGTCTGTGCGCGGAGGGTTTGCGGGAGCAGTGAGTTGGGATCCATCCCGCATTTTCCCTTTCCAGACGTGGACGAGTGTGCGATGGGAGCGCCGTGCGAGCAACACTGCTTCAACACCTACAGCTCCTACGTGTGCCGCTGCGAGCAGGGCTACGAACTCAGTGACAACGGGCAAAGTTGCAAAGGTAACGCCGACCGCAGAGGGGCTGGCATCGGGGCGACGGGAGCTCACCCAGGTTGGCGGGGGTTGGGGGGAGGAGGAGGAGGAGGCAGGGAGGGCACCAGCAATGGAGAGCCAGGGAGGGGAGAGACAGACTCGGAGAGACGGGTTGGGAGCAATAATCATTGAAACCCGATGCCAACTCGTGCCACGAGACAGCTCCACACCGACTGGTGCTGTAGGATAAGAGCTAAAGCTTCCGTGGTTTGAGCAACGTCTTACACAAATCGAGACAGACGGTTTGGGGGAAAGATGGGGCTGGAGGGAGTCCCTCAGCACAGGACCCTGGAGAGCTGAAGTCATGGCCCCCAGTGGCAGAGCGAGGGGAATCAGGCAGTGTCCAACAGGCTGGGATTGGAGGTGCTAGAGGTAGGGAGGGAGGGTAGGGGCTGGAGAAGGTGCCAGAGGTAGGGAGGGGGTGTAGGGGCTGGAGGAGGTTACAGAGATAGGGAGGGGGTGTAGGGGCTGGAGGAGGTTACAGAGATAGGGAGGGGGTGTAGGGGCTGGTGGAGGTTACAGAGATAGGGAGGGGGTGTAGGGGCTGGAGGAGGTGACAGAGATAGGGAGGGGG